CCTGCAGCGATGGAAGGCTGCGGCCGATCACTTCCTCTGCAGAGCGCACAATGCACTGTAGTCTGTTTGTCCCTGACTGTGGCTCCAGCGAACCACACGGTGATGGAGGAGGTGATGGAGGAGGTGATGGAGGAGGTGATGGAGGTGATGGAGGAGGTGATGGAGGAGGTGATGGAGGAGGTGACTGAGGAGCTGATGGTCGGCTCCCACTTGAGGTCCTGGGTGATGGTGGTGCCCAGGAAACGGAAGGACTCCACAGAGGTGATGGGGGAGTCCATCACGGAGGGTGGGGGCGGGGGGACAGTGCTCTTCCTGAAGTCCACAATCATCTCCACTGTCTTCTGGGCGTTCAGCTCCAGGTTGTTACCACTGCACCAGGACACCAGCCGGTCCACCTCCTCCTGTAGGAGACACCAGGACACCAGCCGGTCCACCTCCCTCCTGTAGGAGACACCAGGACACCAGCCGGTCCACCTCCTCCTGTAGGAGACACCAGGACACCTCCCTCCTGTAGGAGACACCAGGACACCAGCCGGTCCACCTCCTCCTGTAGGAGACACCAGGACACCAGCCGGTCCACCTCCCTCCTGTAGGAGACACCAGGACACCAGCCGGTCCACCTCCCTCCTGTAGGAGACACCAGGACACCAGCCGGTCCACCTCCCTCCTGTAGGAGACACCAGGACACCAGCCGGTCCACCTCCCTCCTGTAGGAGACACCAGGACACCAGCCGGTCCACCTCCCTCCTGTAGGAGAGACACCAGGACACCATCCGGTCCACCTCCCTCCTGTAGGAGACACCAGGACACCAGCCGGTCCACCTCCCTCCTGTAGGAGACACCAGGACACCAGCTGGTCCACCTCCCTCCTGTAGGAGACACCAGGACACCAGCCGGTCCACCTCCTCCTGTAGGAGACACCAGGACACCTCCCTCCTGTAGGAGACACCAGGACACCAGCCGGTCCACCTCCTCCTGTAGGAGACACCAGGACACCAGCCGGTCCACCTCCCTCCTGTAGGAGACACCAGGACACCAGCCGGTCCACCTCCCTCCTGTAGGAGACACCAGGACACCAGCCGGTCCACCTCCCTCCTGTAGGAGACACCAGGACACCAGCCGGTCCACCTCCCTCCTGTAGGAGACACCAGGACACCATCCGGTCCACCTCCCTCCTGTAGGAGACACCAGGACACCAGCCGGTCCACCTCCCTCCTGTAGGAGACACCAGGACACCAGCTGGTCCACCTCCCTCCTGTAGGAGACACCAGGACACCAGCCGGTCCACCTCCCTCCTGTAGGAGACACCAGGACACCAGCCGGTCCACCTCCCTCCTGTAGGAGACACCAGGACACCAGCTGGTCCACCTCCCTCCTGTAGGAGACACCAGGACACCAGCCGGTCCACCTCCTCCTGTAGGAGACACCAGGACACCTCCCTCCTGTAGGAGACACCAGGACACCAGCCGGTCCACCTCCTCCTGTAGGAGACACCAGGACACCAGCTGGTCCACCTCCCTCCTGTAGGAGACACCAGGACACCAGCTGGTCCACCTCCCTCCTGTAGGAGACACCAGGACACCAGCTGGTCCACCTCCCTCCTGTAGGTGGAGGTGCAGTGGTTGGTGTACAGGGAGAAGAGCAGGGGAGAAAGAACACAGCCCTTTTTTTTTGGGTCGAAGAATCCGTGGCGTCGTCACAATATGTCAGAATACAGTAAATGCTTCAGTCTGTGGTTTTTTGAGCTAATAATATCAACCAAAGCAGCCACCATTTTGAGAAGTTCTAAAAACCGTAGAATATTTTGTTTTGGGTTGCTATGGCAACAACCTTACTTTCCTCCTTTCACTTGTGTGGAGCATACAGCAGTGTGTAATTATCTGTGTCACTCCTGGAAACACATTTACCCCACGATGTCGTATATATTTTACTCCTGTGAAACTCCAGTATATGAAGAGTAGGGCGGGATCTGGCAAAATCAATAGTATTGCAATATTTGGGCCTCAATTCAACATTAATGTGATTCTTAACATTCTGCGATACTCGAGTGATTTGATTCTGTGATATTCAAAGGCATTACTCAAATAGATAAAACTGTTCTACTCAAATGTCACATTTATTATGATCTGCACTTTCACTGAAGGGAGAAAAATACTTATGAGGGAAGTGAAAATACTTTATCCTTGAAGATCAGAACATTCACAGTCACCGTTATTCTCTGGTTCACTTCTCACATCACTGACATTATTCACATACAACAGATTAGTAAGTCAGTAAGTAAAATGTATTCATATAGTGCCTTACACGGACCTATTGTGTTTAGTGGTAGGGGAAACCGACGCACCCGGAGGAAACCGACGCAGACACAGAAAGAACAAGCAAACTCCACTCAGAAAGGCCCTGTTCCGACCGGGATTCAAACCCAGGACCTTCTTGCTGAGAAGTGAGAGTTCTAACCACTCAGCCCACTATAGAGTCACAAAAAGCAGACATCAGAGTAACGTAAACCTTAGCTGTAAATAACCAGAGAAAACACAAACGTGAAACAGATTCAATGAAATATCCCAAAACTTGACTGTGTCCATTTCATCGCGTGTGAAAAAATAATGTGATTTTCTGCCCCACCGCTGATCAAAAGTCTTTTCTATCAGAGAGTGGGATTGAATCAGCAGCTGCTCAGCAAACACAGCCCAGAGTGATGTCACATGACCCCAGTGCTTCAAGAAGGATAGAAACACAAACACACCCAAAGCATGAGATAAAAGACAGAGTTGTATTTAGTCTAGTAAGTAAGTAAGTAAGTTTTTATTTATATACCGCCTTTTCACTGCAGATCTGAGTCACAAAGCGGTTTACAATTGTTAATTTTGGGCATTTGTCTCTCACTCCACACAGAGATGGGAGCGGGGCCAGTACAGGAGGCGCATGCTAGAACTATTGGACATATTTTTAGTGGTAGGGGAAACCGGAGTACCCGGAGGAAACCTACGCAGACACGGGGAGAACATGCAAACTCCACTCAGAAAGGCCCTGGTCCGACCGGGATTCGAACCCAGGACCTTCTTGCTGAGAGGCGAGAGTGCTATCCACTCAGCCACCGTGCCGCCCGTGCCCCAGTCAAGAAAGATAAAGGATTGTTATTAATATTTATGCATTGGAACAAAACGAAGGAAGTGTGTGAGCGTCTGCAAACTTTAGAGTAATAGTTCTATAATAAAGTTCTGAAGTCAGTGATCATGACGAGGGGTTAATTTGAGCCCTTTCCAAATGTAAGTAGTAGTAGTAATCTTTATTTATATACCGCCTTTTCACTGCACATCAGAGTCTCAAAGCGGTTTACAATTGTTATTTTTGGGAGTGGGGCCAGTACAGGAGGCACATGCCAGACCTATTGTACATATTTTAGTGGTAGGGGAAACCGGAGTACCCGGAGGAAACCTACACAGACACAGGGAGAACATGCAAACTCCACTCAGAAAGGCCCTGGTCCGACCCAGGACCTTCTTGCTGAAAGGCGAGAGTGCTAACCACTCAGCCACCGTGCCGCCTGTAGGAATGTAGGATGCAGAGTTCATTTCATGTTTTAAATCACATTTGCACGGAGCCTAATCCTTCTTTAGCATCTGCACTTTCCTTTCACAATACGGGACATACTCTGGGGATGTTTTCATCAGTGTATTTAAATTTCAATTCTTGCTTGGATCGAACCAAAGCTCGACTAAAGTTAAAGGCTGAGAATTGAGCCATTGTAGCACTTGATTCCCATTCATTTAAAGAGACAGTATTTACTTTGTGGATCGGAAAAGGTCCGAGGGCCACATTGAAACGTGAATCGGCCACGCCCCCGGTCACGCCCCAGGCCACGCCCCCTCATCCCTCCACAGACGCTCTGTGTAGAATCTGTCTCTGACTTTGTTTGTGGACTGAGAAAAAGTGCAAAAGTTCACATTGTATTTGGACTTTTGCCACTCATGGTATAATTATGTTTTTGGAGTCGTGACATTTCAGATATTTCTCATTCATTTGGTTTTGTTTTACTCAGAAAAAACTACTAAAAATCAGCGTTCTGAGTGGAAGAAAGTGAAAGTGCTTCCTCATTTCTACTCGAAATGCATTTAAAGGAAGGAAACAATGCATTTAAAGGAAGTCAAAACTCAGTTATTTAAAGGAAGGAAACAATGCATTTAAAGGAAGTCAAAACTCAGTTAATCACTCGTAACATGCAGCAATAAAAGTTTATTGTTCAACTCAAGGTTTGTTCAACCTCTAGATCTACAGCCTCAGTCCTGGGTCTACAGCCTCAGTCCTGTGTCTACAGCCTCAGTCCTGGGTCTACAGCCTCGGTCCTGGGTCTACAGCCTCAGTCCTGGGTCTACAGCCTCAGTCCTGGGTCTACAGCCTCAGTCCTGGGTCTGCAGCCTCAGTCCTGGGTCTACAGCCTCAGTCCTGGGTCTACAGCCTCAGTCCTGGGTCTACAGCCTCAGTCCTGGGTCTACAGCCTCGGTCCTGGGTCTACAGCCTCGGTCCTGAGTCTACAGCCTCAGTCCTGGGTCTACAGCCTGGATCTGATGGACTGATGTGTAGCTGTGGTAGTTGTAGTAATAATAACATGTTTTATCAGTAGTAGAGAAGTATCTTTTGTCTGAGATTGAAGTCAAAATAAAATTCCTCAGCAGTACTTCAACACTAATGCATGGATATAGTGTGAATTGGCTTTAGATGCATAATTGTGTTATTGGTGCACTGCTAACAAACACAAACGTTATGGGAAAGAGTTTCAGTTTTTATTCCTCCAGAGATTGGATGTGAAGAAGACACATTGACGACACATATAACCAAGTGATCACACTCAGCCACTAATCCTAAGTGCATCAAAGTACACACAAAAGCCTCAACAGATCAATAACATGAATATTAAGACTATTCTAACACTTGTATTTGTCAAACTGTCCCAGACACAGATGAAATTAAACAAAAAGATAAAATAGCAGTTTACTCACTTTGTCCATGTTTGCAGTTTGATGAAGAGCAGAGAAAGCAGAAGTGGACAGTGCTTCGGAGCGGAGGGCCTGGAAAGGGCTGGGTCTGGCTTCTTATACTGAGTGGGCGGGACTTAGATGTGATGGACAGACGCCATAGCCAATCGCAGCAGCTCCCTGAGATGCTGTAACCAATGAACGCCAAAGAAACTCTAACACTTATTTACAGCTTGGCAGAGAGGTGCTACTATGAGGCCTGAGTGGAGAGGGCACTTATCACAGGCTTTCCACAGAGAAGGTTTAATGTAGGCTGGCTCAGGAACTAGTAATGTTTAGTTACTGAATTATACTGTAAAGTGAATTAGGTCGTGTGTGCAGAAACATGGTCCAGATGCAACAGTTTCTTATTAAGTACTACACATGTACAGTGGGGCAAAAAAGTATTTAGTCAGCCACCGATTGTGCAAGTTCTCACTTAAAATAATGACAGAGGTCTGTAATTGTCGTCATAGGTTCACTTCAACTTGTGAGAGACAAAATGTGAGAAAAAAATCCAGGAATTCACATTGTAGGATTTTTTAAGAATTTATTTGTAAATTAGGGTGGAAAATAAATATTTGGTCAATAACAAAAATTCAAGTCAATCGAAGGAGGTTTTGGCTCAAAATCTCACGATACATGGCCCCATTCATTCTTTCCTTAACACGGATCAGTCGTCCTGTCCCCTTAGCAGAAAAACAGCCCCAAAGCATGACGTTTCCACCCCCATGCTTCACAGTAGGTATGGTGTTCTTGGGATGCAACTCAGTATTCTTCTTCCTCCAAACACGAGGAGTTGAGTTTATACCAATCAGTTGTACTTTGGTTTCATCTGACCACATGACATTCTCCCAATCCTCTGCTGTATCATCCATGTGCTCTCTGGCAAACTTCAGACGGGCCTGGATCATCCATGTGCTCTCTGGCAAACTTCAGACGGGCCTGGATCATCCATGTGCTCTCTGGCAAACTTCAGACGGGCCTGGATCATCCATGTGCTCTCTGGCAAACTTCAGACGGGCCTGGACATGCACTGGCTTCAGCAGGGGACATGCACTGGCTTCAGCAGGGGGACATGCACTGGCTTCAGCAGGAGGACATGCACTGGCTTCAGCAGGGGGACACGTCTGGCACTGCAGGATTTGATTCCCTGTCGTCGTAGTGTGTTACTGATGGTAACCTTTGTTACTTTGGTCCCAGCTCTCTGCAGGTCATTCACCAGGTCCCCCCGTGTGCTTCTGGGATTTTTGATCACCGTTCTCATGATCATTTTGACCCCACGGGATGAGATCTTTGTGGAGGCCCAGATCGAGGGAGATTATCAGTGGTTGAAATATTGTTTTGGGCTACATTTGGGCTGTCTTTTATACAGGTGTCATTAATGCAGGTAACGAGTGGAGGACAGAAGTCTGTGAGAGCCAGAGATCTTCTTTGTTTGAAGTGACCAAATACTTACTTTACACCATAATTTACAAATGAATTCATTAAAAATCCTATAATGTGAATTCCTGGATTTCTTTTTCACATTCTGTCTCTCACAGTTGAAGTGAACCTATGATGAACATTACAGACCTCTGTCATTATTTTAAGTGGGAGAACTTGCACAATCAGTGGCTGACTAAATACTTTTTTGCCCCACTGTATTTCTTGTGTCATTTCACGACCCAGACTGCACGGTTAAAGTATAAAGAAGTCATCATTTGAAGGCTGAAAACTGACTAATTCTATGTATTGTTATTGAAGTGAGTAATTTATTGTTATTTTAAATTCTGAGTCAAGAATCATTGGTCGTCCAGTGTTATGTCTTGTGCCTTGCTCGTCCCGCCCCCTAACCACTGTAATAATCCTTAACATTTTGATTAAGATCCTTTATTCTTCCCACAGGAAATGTCAGTGTTGCATCAGCAGTTACAGAACAGTAGTAATGACTTCTTTCTGCTGCACAGTGTTTCAGAGTTTCCTGTTACTCTCTTTTGCAGAGTCAGATTACTTCTTTGGGCAACACTCTTGGCCTATAGCCAAGTGATTGCAAATATCTTTTATTTCTTTACATTACTTTGTGAGGTTATAACTGTTGTCCAGACGCTGACCACACAAATGTCTTTCTGCAGCAGCCACGGACCAGAATAGAAGTGCATTTGTTACCACGGAGACGACAAAATATTTGGCATAGCTTTGGAGCGCACTGTTTTTAGCTCCAGTAACAATGTTTATGTTTAGTGGGACAGATGAAGATAAACGGATTCTTTATGCGCTGGATTTGACACAGATTTTGACCTGAAAAAGGTGAAGAATTATAACCAAAGAATAATGGGGTCATAATAGCAACAAGAAAGTGGCCTCAGGACGTGGAGAAAATACTGCACTAAACCAGGAACTCAAAAGTCAAAAGTTAAAGTTAAAACCAAGACTGAACATAAGGACTAGTCTTAAAAAGGACTAGTGTTGGGTAAGGGTTAGTCTCACTAGTCTCAAGGAAATAACAGTTACATTATTTTTGTGTATATATTATATACAACACTAGACAGAATAATGAGACCAAACAGAGGAGTGCAGTTGGTGTCTGTACAGTAGTATGTACACAGTAGTATGGATACAGTAGTATGGATACAGTAGTATGTACACAGTAGTATGGATACAGTAGTATGGATACAGTAGTATGGACACAGTAGTATGGACACAGTAGTATGGATACAGTAGTATGGATACAGTAGTATGGACACAGTAGTATGGACACAGTAGTATGGATACAGTAGTATGGATACAGTAGTATGGACACAGTAGTATGGACACAGTAGTATGGATACAGTAGTATGGATACAGTAGTATGGACACAGTAGTATGGATACAGTAGTATGGACACAGTAGTATGGACACAGTAGTATGGACACAGTAGTATGGATACAGTAGTATGGATACAGTAGTATGGACACAGTAGTATGGATACAGTAGTATGGACACAGTAGTATGGATACAGTAGTATGGACACAGTAGTATGGATACAGTAGTATGGACACAGTAGTATGGATGCAGTGGTATGGACACAGTAGTATGGATGCAGTGGTATGGACACAGTAGTATGGATACAGTAGTATGGACACAGTAGTATGGACACAGTAGTATTATGGATAACCATAATTAGTAGAGATTAGTGCATGTGGAGATTGGACAAACTGTCTCCTGCAGCTTTGAGTCACAGTTGTGTGAGCAACTGAGCATGCGTCACGGCTGAACTGCTTGGTGGATTTCAGTTCCGAAAAAACTGGGTAAAAACTGTGGTTAACAGATCTGTCTCTTTGTCCTAGTTGAGACAACCCTTGAATGAAAGTACAGTAGACTTGAATATTAAGTTTGTGGAATGCCAGTAACGAAAAAACGACCGCAAAAGAAACAAAGTGAACTCGGTCAAGCTGCGCAGGTGACTGTGATTGAAATGGCAGACAGCAGCGACAACCCTGAGGAGCTATCTACACTAATTTGGACCATAATACGCGAAGAGATGAATGCTGCGATGGATAAAATGCAACCGCTGCTTGATGAACTTAAGTGCGGCATGATTGAGTGCAATAAGAAAGTTGCTGATCTGGATGTGTCATTATGCCGCGTGAACAGTCGAGTCTCAGAGCTGGAGATGGCAAATGAACGTCTCCAACAAGAAAATAAGTATCTGAGTGAGAAAACTGAGCGTTTGGAAAATCAGAGTCGGAAATACAACATCCGAATTCTTGGCCTGGTTAAAGAGGTTGAGAAGGGGAATCCGACGAACTACGTCACAACTCTGTTTAATGAAATGTTCCAGGGAAAGCTGCCGCGCGAGCCCGAGGTTGAAGTTGCGCACCGCGTTGGACCTGTGAATAAATATGGTCAGCGGGCCATGATCGTCAGGATGCATCGTCTGGCCGTGAGAGAAGAGATTCTGCGCATCGCGAAGAAGGAGAAAGTTCTGGAGATACATGGGATGAAGCTGCGAATTTTCCCCGACTTCACAGCCGAGACTGCCAAGGCACGGGCCAGCTTTCGGGATGTGAGAAACAGACTGTGCAGCGCAGGGGTGAAACACGGAATTATCCACCCTGCCACTTTGATCCTAACTTTCAGAGGAGAAACTAAGAGGTTTACTGACCACCTGACTGCGGAGAACTATGTAAAAACTACGATTGAACTGGAGGAGTCTAACCAAGGATGAAGAGGAAACCATCGCGCGCGTAATGCTCTGCCTTTACGCACAGGTATATGAACTCAAAATGTGAAGACTATTATTTAACGGTATTATAGCAGCCACTTTATTTTTCTCAGCCACGTCTCTTTAGTTAAGCTATGGACAAATTGTTTTCTTTTGGAAAATTACCACAAAAGACTGTAGAATGTTAATATCGGGACTGATAAAACTGCCTTTTTTTTCTTGTCACTATGAGGGCAAAATGGGTGTGCATGGTGTATGTGTGTGTGAGTGAATGTTTGTTTGTCTTGTCTTTTTGTCAACATTGTTTAGTTTGCAGCTCCATCTTATTTTTGATGAAAAGTTTCAAAACAAATACAAATTCTTATGGTGAGGGATAACGTGTTATCAAATAAAGGTTTGAAAATTGCCCATCTGAATATCTGTAGTTTGAGAAATAAGGTTCAGGACATAAGCAGGATTTTAGAGAGTTACAATTTACATATACTAGCTTTATCTGAGACACATTTGGATGGAAACATTGATAGTTCCCTCGTTCATGTAAAAGGTTATAACTTATATAGGCTTGACAGAAACATACACGGGGGCGGAGTGGGATGTTATGTGCAAGATCAAATCCCAGTGAAGATCCGATCTGATCTGGGTTGTGTTGGAGTGGAAGCACTGTGGCTGGAAGTGCAGGTACCTCACATTAGGCCTTTTCTGATTGGCTGTTGCTATAGACCTCCAAATGCTCACATAGTTTATCTAGATCAGATCTGTTATATGTTAGACAAAGTTTGTGACTTAAATAAGGAAATTTATTTTGTAG